TATTTGTATCAGGATTGTCCTCACACATGGAAATTAACATGTGGCTGATTCAGACCACAACTTTGGAGGTACACAGTGAAAAAATGAACAGTTCGGGATAACACAGGACACAATATTACTACAGTCACCCCAGGACATCCTCCCAAAAGCCACAAGTTAGGATTATGCAACAGAATTAGATCAAGCATTCCACTTGAATTTGAACACTGGCATTCCAGTCAAGATGCAGAACACAGAGATCAGCACAAAGGACAGTCCCAATGTACTCACTGCCCCATCCCAGCCATGCTGGAAGGTATTGTCACACACCTTTCTGTAGATAGATAACATTAGATACTCAGTTTAAATACTCAAATGAACAAAAAGTAACAAAATACAAATAACTATGTAGAAGTCTGTTTTCTGATCTTCAGAGGACATTACTTTATTTCTTCCTGTAGCCGTTAAATAGACTGAAAACTTAACTTGTAACATAGTTTTCTCCTCTGCATAAATGTCTCGAATGCTTGTAACAATGAACATAAAGTGAATTACAGTAATAAAAAATCATAAGATGCTGCTATGACAGTCTCAAGCAAAGGTGAGAATAATAAGTTGCAGCTCTTCACTGTTTCTTGAAGTGCTACTCACATGGTAAATATTGCATGTAGATTACAGGTACATGATTTGTAATTTGAATGCCAAAACTGTTGGAAGTTTCATGTTTCTAAGAAACTTATAAAGCCAGTATCATCTTACTGCTAAGTAACTGTAAGTAATATACTGGAATGCCATTCCATGTCCATGACTGATCTGTGCTTCTATGCAATGTGTCCTCTTTGACAGGTGGCCATTTACAACGTGGCAGAGTATATGTATATAATAAAAGCAGCTATGAGGTCTAGCTATCTCAGGTTTTCAGCTCCTACTCATGCCATGCATACATGATAATGGGTGCTTTCAGCAGAACAGCAGTACCCTTGGCATTCATAGCATGTGAACATATGCACAAACAGTCATGTAATATCTTCACATGGCAAACCCTGTAGTGGTACAATGTACATTTGTATCTTGCTCCCTTGGGATGTCTACACACGTTCCATGTAATAAATAAATAAATGTAGTTTGAGAAGATGTCACACATTTGGTCCATGAATTCACCAAATATATGTAACTTTCTTCATTACATTTATGCTGTACATTTGTTTTTGGTAATATCACTCTATACAATGACTATTCTATTTCTTTGCAAACTGCTTCAAATTCAATGTCTTTGGGAAGCCTTTCCATGTGTCTTTCGAAAGTTATTAGTAATCAGTATTATCACATTATATGATATTCAGACCTTCCTGTAACAGGGCAATATTGGGGTTTTTTTTACCTCTGGATTAATAAAAATATTGAATGTGCCTGCAGTGCAGGGCTCAAATTGCAGGTAAAGCTGGAGCTGTGCATGTATTTCTGATGACCTGCACCTAACTTGTACTGGCCCATGTACTGGACCAGTGGAGGTATGCAGAGGAAGTACATGTATATCAAGCTATGAAATGCATTTAGAAGTGTAAATCTTTGAAGTTGTTTAGTTGGGGTACCTCTAGCCGCGGCGACTCTTGATTCGGGCTTACATTGCATTACCCTCAGCAAGAATGCAATGTAAGCCCGAATCAAGAGTCGCCGCGGCTAGGGTACCTCATACGTACATGAATGCTGAAGAAACCCTCAGCGGACATACTTGAACTTCAACAAAGTATGATAAAACAATAAAAAGTCACAAATATATAAAGTTAAAAATATGGCCCAAGGGGTCTTATTTGATCGCAAATTATATCCCTATAATACGTAGTAATATAGATCTATAGCTCAAAATTATGATACATGTATAATTTTAGTCAACTCATTTTTTCAAAAAATCTGACTACTTGTTCCTGTTTTCAGAACCAAGCTGCACACAATTTTGTTACTCACTAGTAAATGGCCATTTGGGCATACACATTTTTTCATCTTACTTGTCTTTTGAATCTTCTAACGTGAACAAAAGCCAGTTTACGCTACTGCCTAGTACTACGCTACGTCACCCCCCTCCCCAGATTAGCTTCACCATCAGCAAAATCACATAATAACCACCAACCGACATCCTCGTTTTGTACGCAATATTACACACTACTGAAGCCTCAGAGTATATTCATACCTACATAAACTACCTCTATGGTGCCTTAGGATCAATATCTGGTTCTAATAAAAGCGTCACTGAGGTAAGTAAGCACAAAATCTCACCTTCAAATTCGCCAATCTCGTCAAAATTCTGCTACCTCCTATCCAACATGGCTTCCTTTGCCATCCGTGACCTCTCACCTATGACGCAGTTTTTGGCCACGCCTCAGGAGCGGGTCCTTTTAGGATTGAGATTCCGTGTTTCTGTTGTTCAACAAAGACCTTTTCGCAAAAGAGCCAGTGTAACCCATTTTTTAACCCAAATTTATTGCATGATTTCTGAATCAGTTCTCCGATGTTATACTGGCCGTAGAAGGGCCCAGTTAGCATCCAAATTTCTACTTTATCTGCCGGTTCTTTCACTGGCACTTCTTCCAATATCATTAGGGGCTGTCATAAAATCGCGTCTCTGTCCTATGACCTCTCTACCAAATGCCTACTCAAAGATATATTGGTGTTACACAATAGCTTACTTTTTCATTATCAAATTTATGCATTCATTCATTCAAGCATACAAATCAATAACAGGACGCACAAATTGGAAGGGTATCATCAGTGAAGAGAGCTGAATTTTTATAAAATGCCATAAGTAATGTGCTGTAACATCACGGACCATCACCCATACCGTGTACAAAATATACCGTAACGTATCGACACGTACACGTACACATATGTGCATGCTATAGCATGCACATATAGTCATATCAGGTACACACAAATTGTATGTATCGGATGGCTAAAAGCAAACCGAATTCTATTAACAGTTACATGATATCTCATGCAAGGCCTGTGGCGATGGCGGTACGTAGCAAACATAACAATCACCCTTACATGTTTTATAGCTGAGATAACCGTTATTTACACGTGTAACGTTATCGATGGATTAGTAGAAATTCAGCCATCCATGACCACGTAACGTTACTTATCTATTATTTAACATCATTGCCATCAACAGTCATGATTGTCAAATCATATTGTATTTGATTCAATGCCCAAGTACCTATACATGTATTCCAAACACAAGGCAATCTAGAATATCAAAAGAACACACGAATGAGTGAAAATTCAAACGTGCATGTACATGTCTACCACTTATCGTATTCCAAATCCGTCCACCATTTCGCAATGAAACAAAGCAATTTCACAGTGAGTGCATCTTTGCGGTTACTCAAACCGATAAAATCACGTGCAATTTTCATACTGAATTGCCTGCACACCATTTCTCGTGGGTAAATACTCCTCAGGTCATAAAAGATCATGATACTGTATTGTTCAGAAAGCTAGGATACCTATTATGCTATAATAAGCGTGGTATTAAATTTTTCAATACCAATATACGCGCAAATCCATTAGTCAGATGATAGATAACAGGTGGCCTTGGAAGCGTCTGTATTGTTTCTGTGTTCACTGTACAGTAATCTACTCTGGCGCCACAGACTCCACAGACGTAGTGTCCGGGCGCAGTCTAGGGACATTACTTTATCATTTGCTTCAGGCTTTCACCTGTTTCAGTCCGGAATCTCAAAGACTGGCATCGGGAATAGTGGAGAAGTTTAAATGCTCAACTTGACTTCCTGGATTTCTGCGCCATTGGCTATCTGGTTTTCATAAAGAATATAATAAATATATAGAAATATTGCCCACGTTCTAGGAAAAATGTCTTGTTTCCCTTGGGTCGGTCGGGAAACCGGAAGCAAAACATTTTTAACGTGTTAGAAATTCCGCCCAAAATTACAAATATACTAGTACATGTATAGTATTATCCCATAGATTAATTGCCAAGCATTGTTAAGCAAGAGATTTCACCATATATTGTATGTTATAATATAGTTGAGCAATGAAGTTACCACCATTATTATTATCATTATCAAATGATGTCGGCAGTGCAAAAAAGATGTCCACACCTTGTGACACCCCCTCCTCCAAAAATATTAAATGACTAATTCACACTTGATGATAATTTACATCGTATGTTAAAATGGCCTGGTGACCACTGTCTACGGGTACCGGTGTGATACGTGTTGTCCAGGCCCGTCCTCCAAAGTACAGGCCTCCCTTTTTAACACCCAATCTTTCCAGTCCGCCTTTCTGGTTAGTGCTTGCCGTGGGCAAATTGAACCCGATCCCGTTAAAACCACGGCGTGCGCAAAATGACCTGGGCGAGCTGGCAACACTTTCAGCACCGTAGAGATACCGACATGCCTACGAGAGTCTGGCTACCAGGTTAATGTTCAAACTGTCTTCCGAAGTTACGAGGCCGACCCCCCGCCGGTAAAGAGCGCGGTCCCCTCGTTGAGAGCTCGGACGATTTCCTCCTCCTGCGGCTCCTCGATGCTGGCGGTCGGCGTGCCTGGGAACCTCTTGTTGTCGTACTTCGCATCAGGTCTACGGGGAAAAGCAAAGAGCAAGAAGTCAGCATTAAAGAATCTGTGAAGGAATCTGTAAATGCTGTCAAGTACGAAACACGTTTCAAACTGTTCTAGCCGCGAAAGAAGTGAGCTCTGTAATGAAGCCCATCAAATTCTACCCTAACTTCTTTCCACACGTTTACTATTTTCCCTTCATATTGCTTTGTTTACTGTTAGAGGGAAGGTCTGAATACTATATTATAGAATGTAATATTCTGGTTGCTTTGAGTTTGGAAAGTCACAGGGAAGCTTATATAAATATCACTGCTATTTACTACATTTACTTCAATATATAACTAGAGGGACTATAGAATGTAGCTACATATTGATATTAAAGATATTGCTTGATTTCAATTAAATTGTTACAGGACGAGTAGATATTTTAGAGCTGTTACAAACTTACTTCTGGGAGAGCTGGCGGTAGTACCTCCGTCTGGCCAGCCACCACGCCACGGTACCCCCCACGAAGCAGAAGACCAGGAACAGGACGACCACCACCAGGATGGGGATGGACACTCCGTCCGGGACCAGGGCGACCGGGGCTGTAAACAGGACAGAACAGAGACGTGAATATTCTATAATACTCACTGATATAGATAATTCCGACACTACTGCTGTATGAAATACGGAGATAATAACCACTGGCTCTTTTTGTATCAATATCCCAGTAGTGCCCAGTAGTAGAGTTTGAATGATTATCGTCTACCAAAATGTCCGAACTTCATCAACTGTAATTTCATCAGGTTGGTGAATTACTGAATATGAAAGTACGTGTAAAGTTCTTTGTAGCAGACGCAGTATAGAAAATGTATCATCTAAGACCGTACAGAACAGACAAAAAGAGAAACACATGAAGGATGGTCATTTTTCAGATGTCTACAGGCCTCTCGACAGTAAGGTATTTATAGATACACGCTAACCTTTGACGAAATAATAGTGACAATGTAATGAGGTACAATCATGTTTTTGAAGATTACACATGTAACGTTACACGTGTCATTTAGCGGAACGAAGAGCCTTGAAGCGGTATGATTACTGTCCCGGCGTCATTAATCCTATTTCACTAATTATACTGTGTGAGTGACGTGATAAGTTGTTGAGGGCCGTTATCATATCCACAGACTCAGTCAGAACTTATCACAACTGTGCATGCATCATTCTGTTTGATGTTTGTATTTATATATAAGTGCTCTATCACTTACTATGAACTGAGTACATCAGACAGTTAGGGGCTGGGGAATGAAACTCCAATAAAGGTAGGTAAAAGTTTCCAGAATAACTTACATGGCACAATCGCTACTTTTACATGTATTGCAGCAATAACATAAACGCATGGGAATTTTTCAAAGTAGGTAGCGACTGGGGATGATTCCTTTCCCTATTCCTTTAAATGTCTGTCATGACGGATCACATCATTTGATCAGACCCCCGGGCACCGCGCGAAAACCACATGACTGATCGACACAACATCAGACGGTACCTTCCAGCCTCCTGCTGCAGTGACTTTCACACGGGCACTTCACAAATCAACAGTTTCTAGTCTATGTGTCATCATCTCTGATTTCGTTTGAAGCGTAGGTCACAGTGTAACGATCCAATCCCAGGGTTTATGGAATGAGCAGAAGAGACGAGTGGAGTACTGTGGATCTGTATGTATTCTTCAGAACATGTGGGTAACTCTAACTCAACTGGATATAACTGGTTCCTAGTGGACTTGCCTACTCGCCACCGGGGGTGGCAGGTTATACCATTCCCATAGGGGGAACTCTATGGTTCAGCATATTAGATCCTTACACTCTTCCCCCCTACAACAAGTAAAACTTCTCCTGAAGTTTACAGATATAACAAAATGCAACGGGGAACAGTCCGTATCCGTAACAGTACGAATAAAACTACTGAATAAAACTTAACTTGTATTAAAGCTGTCATCACAATAACAAGTAACTTACATGTATCTGAAGTTTGACTTACACTAAAGTTTACGAATATCATGTAAACATATCAGAGCATAAACATAATTAAAAAAAATAGTTCTATATAGTGTAACGTTACATTTGACAGATCTAGATAAAAGGTATAACGGTATTTGACAGGGAAGATACACAGATTAAAAAGAAAATCTGTATAAGTTCTAGACGGTTTGTCTTCAACCTCTGTCAAAGTTAACTTCCTGGCGAAGCAAGGTTTTCCGTGTCCCAATCTAAATACTAGTAGATCGTCAATGCAACAGTCTGATGGGAGAGTTCACAGCTGTAGTAGGTTATCTAGAGTTCTGTGACATAGTCCGCAAGTCGCGACGGTCTAGTTACTCGTCGACCACGCCGTGTAGCACGTTGCGTAGTGTCTGTTGTGGCCGTTGCTGGTTGAGAAGTTTGCTCATCCGGACAGTCGCGATCTGGCTGTGCCGTCGGCGTCCTGGCGACAGGTTCTGCCTGGCGTGTATAGCAGGGTTTCAACCTGTTATAATGCACAGTTTGTTTGCGGTTAGTCTGGGTGTTCTTGATTGTGTACGTGACACCTGGTTCTCCATCGGAGAGTATTCGTTCCACGACGACAAATGGGCCTTTCCATCGGGGTCTGAGTTTCCGCCGTTGTGTCGTAGGATCATTCAGCCACACTTTGTCGCCTGCCTTGTATGGTTTGTGGGACGAAGTGAAGTCGTATGCAGCTTTCTGGCGACTGCTCGCTCGCTGTGTGTTTTGTCTCACGCGGGCGAAGGCGGCGCGGAGGCTGCTTTTCAGGCTTCTGGCGTACGACGTGGTCGAATTCGTGGGGGTATGTGGTCTCGCGTCGAAGATCACGTCGGCGGGCAGATTTGCTTCCCTCCCATGTACGAGGTAGAAGGGAGTGTAGCCAGTAGATGCGTGTACGGACGTATTGTACGCCAATAGGATGTGCGGCAGGTGGTCGTCCCAGTCGTCGCCGGTAGACGAGACATATTTGGAAAGCATTGACTTTAACGTTCTATTAAAACGTTCCACGAGTCCGTCCCCTTGGGGTGATACGGTGTTGTACGGCTTTTAGCAATACCGAGCGTCGTGTACAGCTCTCTCATAGTCTCCGCCTCGAATTGTCGACCTTGGTCTGAGTGTAGCGAGGAAGGAATACCGTGTTCTCTGACATAGTGGGTAAAGATGGCCTGTGCTACTGTGGACGCGTCTTGGCGTGGAATAGCATAGGCGTTAACGTACTTCGTAAAGAAGTCTTGTAGTACGAGGCAGTATCGATTGCCCTTCTTAGACTTGGGCAGTTCGGTCAGGTCCATGGCAACCTTCTCGAATGGCTGATTGGTACGGATCGGCTTCAGGGGTGCACGGGCCGAAGGCGTTGGCGCTGTTCGCGTGGCACACTCAGGGCAAGCCCGACACCATCTCTTGATTTCCTGGGTCATGCCCGGCCAATAGAAGCGGACATATACGCGTCGTAACGTCTTCGCGATACCCAAGTGTCCAGCAAACGGGCCGTTATGGAGCTCTCGCATGATGGAGGGCACTAGACTCTTCGGGGCTACCCGCTGGAAGATCATTTGGCAGTTCGCGTTGGGTTTCCACCGTCGGTAGAGGACGCCGCGTTTGACTACGAGCGAATGGTACTGGTCCCACAGGGCTTTCAGAAATCGGCCTCGCTGGCTGATGCTACTCAATGGAGGTTTGCCCTGGCGGCGTTGTTTCCATCGGAGAACTTCTGCAATGTCCCGATCTGCCTCCTGCGCCAACCGCACGTTATCGGGTGACACGGCGTCATCTGCCGAATCTGTTGGTGGGGGTGGCGGTGATGCATCGGGTGGGTTGCTCTGTTGCACGGAGTGTTGTTCGACCGGAGGTGGTTGGTCGACAGGGACCGCAGTATCCGAAGGTTCTCCCCGTGGGGTTGGTGGCCGTGCGGACGAGTGTTTGGCGGACGATATTGGTGGTTGGTCGACGCTGGCTACTGAAGGTGGTAGTCGTGAAAGGGCGTCAGCATTAGTGTGAGCTTTTCCAGCTCGGTAGGTCATGTCAAACTCGTACGTGGAGAGTTCCAGAGCCCATCTACTGCGACGCCCGGTTGGGTCGTTCGTGGTGAGCTTATCGGACCACCCTAGCAGAGGTTTGTGGTCTGTCAGGATCATGAAGCGTCGTCCCGCAAGGTAGGTGCGAAAGTGGCGGACACTCCATACGACAGCCCACATTTCCCGGTCGAACGTCGCCCATCGTCTCTCTTGAGAACTGAGTGTACGACTGGCGTAAGCCACCACTTGTTCGCCTTGGTCGGTGGTTTGAGACAGCACTGCTCCAATAGCGGCATCTGACGCATCCGTGTGTAGTGTAAACGGTCGGCTAAAGTCTGGGTAAGCCAGAACCGGAGGGGACGTCAACGCGTCGCGTAAAGTGTCAAATGCTGTCTGACATTCTATGGACCACGAGAAGGGGTTGCCCTTTCTAGTCAGGAGGTTGAGGGGTTCGGCAATCTTGGCGAAGTGGCGTATGAACTTCCTGTAGTAGGATGCCAACCCGAGGAAGGATCGTACATGGGCGGTGGAGGTGGGTGTAGGCCAGTTGCGGACTTTGTCCGTGTTGGTTGGGTCAGGTTGTACGCCATGTCGAGAGACCACGTGGCCCAGAAAGTTGACTTCTGGCTGCGCAAACTTGCATTTGTCGGCGTTGAGTTTCAGGTTGGCTGAACGGAACCGAGACAGGACTTCCTCCAGGACAGCGAGGTGGTCCTCGAAGGTGCGGGAAAACAGGATGATGTCGTCTAAGTAGGCTAGACACGACCTCCAGTCTAGTCCCGCTAGAAGAAGCTCCATCAGCCGCTGAAAAGTCGAGGGCGCGTTGGTGAGGCCGAAGGGCATGACGGTAAATTGGAAGAGTCCACGGCCGGTAGTGAAGGCCGTTTTCTCGCGATCGTCTGGGTGGATGGGGACTTGCCAGTACCCAGCCGTCATATCAAGGGTGGTGAAGAACGCTGATCCTGACAATGCATCGATCGTGTCATCTGTCCGGGGGAGTGGATGAGCATCCTTGACCGTGGCGTGATTAAGTTTGCGGTAATCGACGCAGAAGCGATGGGTGCCATTCTTCTTGCGGACCAAAACAACTGGAGAGGCCCATGGGCTCTGGCTAGGTTCCACGACACCCGCGTCAAGCATCTCGTTGACTTGGCGTTGGACCTCGGCCTGGCGGTGTACAGGCATCCTGTGTGGCCGTTGTTTGATAGGTTGGCTATCGTGAGTGATGATGCGGTGCTGGGCCAGCGACGTGCGACCCCTGTCTCCCGAGTGACAGCTAAAGACATCATTGTAGCGTTCGAGAAGGTCAGTGAGTTGGCGGCTCTCAGCAGGGGACAGGTGAGTCGTGTCTATGTTGGGCAAGGTGGTGGCGGCTGAAGGGTCTGGTTCAGCGATGTCGTCATCAGCTATCGGTAGGAAAGACCCCAGCGGCATGGCTTCTTTCAGTGTAACTGGTTCGTCAGAGGTGTTGATCACTTCACAAATGGTTTTGGTGTCGTTGACCGTTGCGACAGTCCGGGCAATGGCGAACCCCTTGTCTTCGTAAGCACGTGG